TCAAACTGCAGATGTTAATAATAGTGATGAAGATGAATAAAAGTTTTGACACATTTTTCGCATACATTTTTAAATTCCTCATTAAGTTAAGCATTTGTAAATTGAATTAAAATATACTATATTAAACTATGTTAAAAGTGGCATTTTATTAGTTTCATATCGAGTAGAACATGTAAAATAATAAGATTGTTAATTGAATAAAAATTATGTTCAGTAAACAAAAATCACAATTGTTAATTAAATTAATTTTATTTTAAATAATAATATAATACATATTTAACATAATAATATAATAAATAAATATTATCTAGAAAAAAAAGTAATAGGCAGGAAAATCGAACCCGGGTCGACAGATCGATAGTCCGGCGTCTAGCGCCTGAGCTACGAAACCTTGTCGATAATCGGTTTAACGCAGCCGATATATAAGGAACGCTGTAAGCTTTAAACCGGTTTTTCTTGAAAACGGCTGAATATGGCATCCTATCCCTTTACCCAAGTATTATTCTATTAGAGTACTTAAACATATATATATAAACCTTTTCAAAATCGGCGTTCCAAGGTCCGCGACCACTCCTTGTTAATTGATCTGCAATTTCTCTGAATTAACTTCATAGGCCATTTTTCAGAGAAAGTGCAGAGAAATCGAAGAGAAAAGTAGTATTGAATGATACTAGTACATTTCTCTGCAGTTTCTCTGCATTTACTTCGCAGATAATTTTTTTTAGAGAAAATCTAGAGACACTGAAGAAAAAAAGCAGTATTAATAATCTGAAAACAGTATTGAATTTCTTTGTAGTTTGTCTGCAAATGTTATTCCAATCAAATTTGTTGAGAAACTACAAAGAAACTTCTCTGCTCATTTCTTTGCAATTTCTGCGCAAAGGGATTCCAATTGTCAGATTAAAAGCCGAGGAATCTGTAAAGAAATTGCAGCGAAATGTACGAAATAATAGCTGAGAAATATTTCGGTCAGAGGAGAGATGTAGTGAAGATGTAGAAAAAGTGTATAAAAGGTGCGGAAGTTATGCGGGAAAGGTGCAAGAGAGATGCGGAAAAAGTGTAGAAGAGGTGCAATAAAAGTGCAGAAAAATGTAGAGAAAGTACAGAAAAGGTGTAGAAAAAGTGTAGATAAAATGCAGAAAATAAGTGCAAAAAGGTGCAGAAGAGGTGCAGAAAAAGATCAGAAAAAGTGTAGAAAGTGCAGGAAAAAGATGCAGCAAAAGGGGAGAAGATTTCAAACAAGTTTTCTGGACGACGATGGCGACGGCAACGGCGACGGCAAATCTGAATGAATAAATAACATAAATCGAGTTGAAAAATACGTGCACATTCATATCTAAACACCAAGTACACTTACACGGACATGATTGTTATCTCATTTTAATTGTAAAAATCTATATTCTTCCACAATATATGCATTTTTTATAAAATCAATTTGTTTAAACAAAACAATGATTTTTAATTACATACGCGAGTTCCTTGTAAAGGATACGCTGTAGCGTTTTTTTGATGACATAGTAATATCCCTTTCATTCATATATTACAAAAATATACATATTAGGAGACGCTATCGTTGAGTAAATAAAAATTTACAAAACATTCATAATTTATAAACACCTTATATTTTATTTAAATTCTATAGTATTTGTTTATTCTATATTTACATGTAAATCAAATATCTATACACAATATTTAAAGCAAAAAACATATATTATATAATATACTTATATAATACATATGTTTAACAGATTATTATTGCGCAGCAATTATTTTCTCAGTACTTAAAATTTAGTTTTCATTTAAATTCAGTTTTTAAAATTTAATATTATATTATGTTTAATATAATTAAGTGGATGGATGGAATAAAGGCCTAATTGTAAAATCTTGATATTAATAAAAATTAAAATAACTTGCTACTTTTTTATTATACACAAATGAGTACACTGGAAAAAAATTTTACTAGATCCAAGTAAATATATTAACTTGAAATTTATTTACTTGGTCCAAGTAATTATTTATTTAAATCAAACAAGTTTTCGTGCTTTCAAAAAAATATTTATTTGCTTTCAACTAATTCATTTCCTTAATAAATATTTCCTCACATTAAGAAAACGTGCTTTTTTTTTTAATCTAGTAATATTTCTTTAAAACTGAGAAATGATATTCTCAGATGTAAAAATTGTATTTATTTAAAAGTAGTAGCCAATTTTAGATAAATATTTGTTTAAAATCGATTTTTGAATTACTTGAATCAAAACAATATTTATTTCGTTATTAACAACTAATGTACTAATATTGGGACACTAAAAGCAAGAAATTAATTACTTACAATAACGAAATATTAATTTTGTTGTACTAAATTTTTCTTTCGCTCAAGTTCTTCATTTACTAAAACATATCTTAACTTCATTAAATATTTGAAGCATATATTTACTTGATGAAAGTAAATATTACTTTGAATGAAAAAAACGAACATTTCGATTTTTGAAAAATCAGTTACTAAATCATTTATTTGTTTGAAGAGGATGTCAAGTTGGACCAAAGCGTTGGTGTTTTACAACGAAGAATATATTTCTTTGTTATTGGTAAATAAATATTTACTTGAATCAAAGATATCAATAATTTTGGAATAGAAAATATTTATTCTTATGCAGTAAACAAATTACTTAGTATCTATAAATATGTGTAAAACATATTTACTTAAATGAAAGTAATTGTTAATTTCTATTTAGAAAATATTTATTTCAATTCTAGAAAATATATTAGTATCTATACAAATATGTGTACAACATATTTATTTGAATGAAAGTAATCGTTAATTTCGAGTTATATTTGTTCCTATCCTACACTGTAAAAAAAGTACGTAAAATTACATAAAAAATACGTGTAACAATTACACAATTTATAGTGGAAATATGTAAAATTGTGTGATTTTATATACCATTTTTTTTTCTTATTCCTATATATTTGTTAAATATAATGCTCCCGCAAAGAGAAGTTGCCCACTAAATCCCAAGGCAGCCTGTATAAATATACATATATTATATATGTATACTATAGATATTGTTACGTCCGCACGTCTCGCGTCGATGTCTCTGCTCTCCAGGCGCGTAGCAATAAAGAACACGATTTCAAAAGAAGAAACAAGTAACATTTATTCAACTATGTACACTAGAAACACAGAGATTTCAGCAATTGCGAAAATACTCGGAGCAGAGAGAAAACACGTCCGTCTATATTCACGACTCTCTCCCAGATCCCTCTTCTAAACAAGACCCCTCGTCGCCAAGCAACGCGACTTCTTCTTCATCGTGGAACGTGAACTTCGGTGCTTAAAGGGTGTCGAGGCGAAACGGGCATAACAATATACACTACGCACAACAATTAGGGGATCACTTTGAAACCTACAAATTTGGTTGATATTTGAGAAACTGTATCTCTGCTTCCAGAGATCGTAGGACAATTTTTCTGGGTGCGTTTTAAAAGGTGAAACATCTACTTTGAAACCGTTAGTATAATATTTACCGTCCCATCAAATGGTTTTTTTCACGAAGATCAGAAGCAGGTCGTGTTAAAATTCTAAAAATTTTGCGACTTTCCAACTTTCCACGGGAAAAATACAAAATGGTCAAAAAATCTCATTACATGCATTTTAAAGTTTGAAACGTTTCCTTTGAAACGAGATCTCGACCATTACTCTAGCATGCCTAGAAGCTGAGTTATCAGGTTCCGAAGGAAACCTTACATTTTGCAAGATTTTGGGTAACCGCCGGCATTCGTGTTATCCGATGTGCACCACGGGGAGGTTGCTCGGTAGGAATTTGCACATCATGTGTGTGTACGTATGTGTGCGCGCGCGCGCGCGCGTGTGCGTGTATGTGAACACAGTCAGAGATAAGGACCCCGAGGTTCGTCAGTCCCTCGGTATTTTACGACTCCAAACCCTCTCTGCTCTGTGCGTGCGTGTGTGTTTGTTATCTTTTATACATATATATTTATCTTATATTATATATTTACCTGGTATATGTATATATTTAACAAATAATATTAATTATGTTGTCATGCCCGCGCCGTGTCAACACGCGTGCCAAGCGAATGGAGTCGAGTAACCGATGGAATGTAGACGAATTGAATACATCACCAGGGAACTTGGCAGATAAGCTGTTTGGCAAATTTGTCAAGACTCACAAACAGCTGATCAGACTAATCTGCCAAGCTACCTTGTCCTGTGGACAAAATTCAGCCGATGCTTTAATTCTTAACCAATTTTAACGGTTTTTTTAACTTGCTCAAAATTGAATGAGGTATAAGCCCATTCTGTGTAAATTTTGATTACGGTCTAAAGTAAAAATTGCCGATCCAATGAAGTGAGTAGAAAAAAAGTCAAAATTACACGATAACGAATATTGGATCGGCATTTTTATTTTGAACCGTAATCAAAATTTACACAAAATGGGCTTATAACTCATTCGAGCAAATTAAAAAAATTAAAAAAAAATCGTTAAAATTGGTTAAAAGTTAGAGTGTCAACCGAATTTTATTCACGAAGATGTTTTTCTACCTATCCGTGCCTCGATGGCACGGGTTCAAATTGTTCAAAAAATCTGAAAAAAATATGGTGTTATTTTTTTCGAGATATTGAACTACTTTAGGGAGAGTCTCAATTAAAATTCAAAAATTTTTTAAATAACGACCACCCTAATATACATATATCAAGTAAATATATAATATGATATAAATATATGACACTCTTGCGTTTCGCGGGTTTTCTCCGTGTTTAGATCCATTCTTGGAATGCCAACGTTTCGTGAACTGCAAGGTTCACGAAACGTTGGCATTCCAAGAATGGATCTAAACACGGAGAAAACCCGCGAAACGCAAGATTGTCACATAAGTAACACCCGTGAAAGCCTCAAGAATATTATGATATAAATATATATGTATAAAAGATAACAATTCTATTACTTAATATTATTTTTATTTGGTACAAACCGCCTATCTTAATTATCTTTTTGTTTAGGTAACTTAGTGTAGCTTTTCTTATGAAAATCATAAAATAAGTATAGAAATATGAATAAATTTCCAATAAAAATAGATGTTATTCCTTTTGGCGATTCGCAATTGGGATTTAAAATTTGCAGTAGAACCATTATTATCACGATAAATTGAACCTAATTTAAACAGAAAAAAATATATTGAAGTAATTAAAATATGTTTCAGAGAAAAAATATAATAATATTGCACGTGCGATTAAATTGTAAACTACTATATTTATACTTACAATCTGCAGTTTAGTTATAAGTGGTTTAATAGGAGATATTGTCTGTTGGAATTCCGAACTCCATGCAGCGATGAAATAGTATGTGTACATAATTACATGCACGGCACAATTTAACAGGAAAATAAATGTCCCCCTTTCATCCAAAATGTATTTCAAATAATACCAAAGAAATACTACGTTACATACATGATGATACACATGTAAACCAGAAACTTGATTTTGTTTCTTTCGTAATACAAATACACAGGTTTCGACGTAATCGAAAAGTTTCAGAAAAATTAACCACCATGCCAAATCAAATAGCTGAAACGTGACTATTATATACAAAATGTATAAAGTATTACAACCATTAAAATATAAAACATTGTCCGTATAAATATCGATAATAGTCAGTGATAAAAGAACTATTACTAAAAATTATTGATTAAGTATTAATTTTTCTTTGAAATTTAATATATACCATAAAGTCCAAATATAAATACAAACTTTTATTTGTATTAATTTTTTTGTGCCGATTAAAATCTGCCTAATGGCTATCAATATAACTTTTTAAAACGTGCATTTCTTGCTATTCTTTAAAAATGATATAATTGCGAGTAAGAAATTAAATTTAAACTTAATAATATCTTTTATATGAACATTAACTTATAAACCTTTATAATTATTATATTGTAAAAACGTACTTTAATCGCATTAGGAGAGTTTGGATTAGACGGCGCATATATTACAGAGAATTCTGAAAACCAGCCATAAGATAGATGCTTTTTGACGAACCATAAGTTTACCAGAATTTGAATCACGTCATAAATTAATATAAAGGTTCTCAACTCATATGGCGGTCGATCTTTCATGAAACGAGGACCAGCATAAAGAATAAAATACATATATCCAAAAGTAATTAGCATCAGTGGAAGTAGCGAAGATACAAATGGCCATTCGCGAGTTTGTTCGACTGCAAAAATAAAATTTTTGAAATAATGTAATCATTTTCTGAAAACAATCTGAATGATCTTTCTTCAATAAAACTTTAGTGCACCAGTACTTTCAAATATATAATGTTATAATAATTATTTTAGCATAAGAGTTGTATGCAAACAACAACTTTTTGAAAATAAAAAATCGTTATCAAAAGCGAAGAAGTATCATGTTTAAATGTTTATATTTTACAAGTATTTTTACAAAACTCATTCTGCTTTATTTCGATAGAAACAAAATGTGACAGGGAAAAAGTTTCGAAATTTTTTCTAAAGATTTTCTTTCTACCCTCCAAAATCGAATCAGTGTATTATTACTGACTTTACTTATTCTGACTTCACCTAGTGCTACACTTATAACTGATTCAATCTGTAGAAATCATAAGTAAAAAATAAAAAAACTTAATAAGGACTCTCAAAATTCAAAACTATTAGAAATGAAGAAATCAGTGTTATCATTATTACTGAAAAACAATAAATATTCGCTGATGATTACATCAGTTATAACTTTATGAGTGCAGCAATAAAGTCACTGATTCAGTTTTAAAGAGTACATTTTCGGCATTTTTGAAGTTAACTTATACTTTAAAATACACACGCACGTACACATGCACATTTATTAGATCACAAATATGTGACATTTATTTTTATTTGAAAGGTTTATAATGATATCAAATTGCTATTAATATAAAACCTGATTGCTACTAATATCTAGTATGATGTAAAAACCTTTTTTCAAGAATTCGTGTCATATTTGTCTAATATACGATATTAAAAAGTATGAATTTAAAAAGATAGAATATTACTCACCCGATAGTTCTACGAATAAATAATGATACATTTCTCCCAAACTCATCGTGAACGAAATCAGTATCAGAATTGTATATTATATCAATATCCCTTATTTAACTTATTTTGTTTAATTTTGTCATTTGTCATTTGTCAATAAAGCTTCAACGGTTACCTCAGTAAGTTCGTAATATTAGACCGATTCTGCTACGTGTACAATCACCGTGCTAGTATTTAAAACAGCGAGTGATGAACTTCGAACTTAGAAACGAATGTAGTTCCAGCAATTTTACTAATTACATTCATGCTTAGAAAATTACTCCATTAAGAAATTCTTTATTATTTTGCAACGAAACAAATTACTAACAAAATAAGTATAATATAAAGTATTAGTAAAAAGTAAAAAAGTTAATTCTCTTAAAAAACGAATTTAATTTCCATAAAACGTCCAGCAAGATTTCGTTATGTGATGTTATATTGAGGAATCACATTTGCAGTAGGTAACGTGGTTACTTACATTGTTATCGCATGAGAGGTTTACGGGACCTTGCTTAAAACGATAAAAAAATTCTATCAAAACTAATCGTGTTCTTGATTCGTGCTTTTATAAGTGACTTAATATATTACCGATACAAGTTTAATGTAGATTTATTAACATATTCCACATACCTCGCAAATGAAAATCAATAAACGTTTTACAAAACATTATATGTATATCGAATGTTATGGAAGTGTCACGAATAAGAATATATCGTTTCCTATGTCAGTTTATCGTACTATCGTTCTCTATGTGAAATGTTTTTACAGTAATTGAATTAATTAAAAATTAAAATTATGTCAACACATAATAGAAATTATTTGTATGTCAATTTAGACGCAATTTTAATTAACTAAATTATTATTATGCACGAGACGTAATAAAAATTTAAAATTGTCATATTATGTCATGACATAATTTTAATTCATAGAATTTTTACTATGTCTTGACATAATCAAAATTCGTAGAATTATTATTATGTAACAAGTTAGCAGCTAGAAATTTAAGCTCTTCAGTATTAATCTTAGAATATTGTTATATAGTTACAAAATAAAGTGGCTTACGCATGTCGTTATTAGCGGTCATTGAGAAATCAGGAGACGCGATAGTGTCTCCGGTCATGTTTAAAAATTAAAAGACACTATAAGTCTCTTATCCCGCGCCACCAAAGTCCATTTTTGGAGGGTATAGAACTACTAAAATATAAAAAATTTTGAATCACACGTAACATATCCTGAAAGGCGGCATCGCCACGAGTAATTTGAGCCAAAAGAAATAAAATCGGTCAAGCCGATTCTGGATATACAAGCAGTCAAAAAGTGATGATTTTCATGAAAAATGAAGTAATGTCTTCTTTTTTTCCTCTGTCCGCAGTCATATGCACTTCTCTTCTCTCTCACCTTTCACTCACCTCCCCCAACTTCGACCCACTCCACTCCTCTCCTCCTCCACCATCCATCCCACCATCCCTTTCTTTCGCCCTATTTCACTCTCTTTCGTTCTCTCTCACCTCCTTTCGTCCTCTCTCATCCTCGCCTGCTGAAAGTGTCCGATGGTCACTCAAGGTCGTGACCATCGACCTTGAAAATATGAGTCAGGGTCATTTTAATTTTTTTGGATAGCTTTGTAATGTGTGATGAGTGACTACTACAACCTTCCAAAGATTGTTTGGTGTGATGACCTTCAGAATGTGTGGGAGGCTCAAAGGTCATCGGAGGTGAACTGTCCATTTTAATTTTAATATCTTCTTAATGAGCAATAGTCGCCTGCTGATAGTCCGATCACTCAGGGACGTGACCTTGACAATATGAATCAAGGTCATTTTAATTTTTTTTATAACTTTGTAACGCGTGATAGATTACTGCTACAACTTCCGGTTGTGCGGTGTGATGACTTTCGTAATGTGTGAGAGGGTCAGGGTCATCGGAGGTGAATTATCCATTTTAATTTTTATAACTTCTCAATAATCAACGAGTGACTACCAAAACGTTTCGATGGTTATTCAAGGTCATGACCTTGACAATATATGTTAAGGTCAACATTGTCGGAGTTGAATTCCCTATTTCATTTTTAATAACTTTGGAACGTACGACGGGTGACTGCTACAACCTTCTGAAGGTTATTTAGTGCGATGACCTTCATAATGTACGGGAGGGTCAAGGTCATCGGAGGTGAATTTTAATTTTAATAACTTCTTAATAAGCAACGAGCGACTGACGAAACCCTTCGATGGTTACTAAGGATCATTACCTTGACAATATACGTCACGGTCAGCGTCATCGGAGTTGAATTCCTTATTTCGTTTTTAATAACTTTTTAACCTAAGGTGACTGCTCAACCTTCCGAAGGTTGCAGGAAATGTAGTGGGAAAACAAGTATCGTATACCGCAGGTCTATGTTAAGTAATAATTTCAGATTGAAAAAAGGAATAAAATTAAGTAAAAGTTACCGAAATGTTTAAAACATTGATAAAAAGGCTACCCAAAGTTTGAATTTTTATAGTTCAGAATCTTTCCATGGTTCTTATTTTATGAATCGTCTGATTGAATAACTAATTGAAAAGGAACATTTTATGCAAATATATTTGTATAAAAAATGCACGGATGGGAAGTAAAGTAACGCCGTAAATTTGATCATTTATATTATAAAAACAACTTGATGACGACTTCATTGTAACGATAACTGACTATACTAATTTTGTGCTAAGCTTGGAAAAGTCACTTTGAGAGGTAACTCTTAAGTATTACGTGTTTATTACTGAAGAAATTATTTGTAATGAGTAGTCCCAAAAATAAAAGATTTACTTAATTTTACTGATATGTATCAGGTAAATCAAAGATTTGATGTGAATAATGGGCACTGAATTATAATCTTTAAAAATTACGTATAATTATTATTTATTATTATTATTATTATAATTGTTATGTCTTCCCTGTTCGCCTCCTCTGCTGCCTCTTCGCGGTCCCCAATGGTAATGGGCCGCTAACAGCCGTATTAGAAACCGTTTATCAATGATTAATTATCCTACTATCAAATTAGTCTGGGAGGGAAATATAGACATACAATTTATTGGAGAAAAATTAGAGTTTTTAAACTCATACTTAACAAAATACACGACAAAGTCGGAAAAATGCAATATAGACTTTGCAATGATAGATTCCAATAAACCTTTGGCATCTTCCACAGTTTTACAAAGTAAAACTGTGGAATTTTGCGATGCGTTCATTGAATAACAGAGACTTTAGAAGCTGCGGACACACTACTAGAGAATCCCTTGTATAGTACGGACAGTGATACCATTGTCAAATAGATTGACGTTAATAAAATGAGAAACAGAAAAGTTAAAACATTCAATGAAATTAAAGCTCTCGATGAAAATTCTACGAATATTTATTGTCCATCGCTCATCGATTATTACTATCCAAGCAGACCTAAGGAATTAGAATCATTGAATTTGTATGATTTTGCCAGATTCTGGAAAATTACGAAACAGATGCCAAAGAACGGCGAAGTCGAAATTTCGATTACAAACTTGTATAGCGTTTATTTAAAAAAAAGAAACGAAAAAAGTGTTATTTAATTAACCATTATCGATTTAATGTAAAAACTGAACCCGAAAAATACTTTTACTCGCTGCTTCTTCTGTTTAAAGCGTGGAGAGATTTGAGGAAACTCAAAGGTGCATACGAAACTTACACGGATGCCTTTAAGAATTCAACGTCTGCTTTGACGAAGGCAATGAAATATTACGAAAGGCTTGAAGAAATACAGAAATCTTTTGAGAACATTTGCTGAATTAATCGAGAAGCGCGAAAATGATCTGAAAACAGCAGACAGAGACAAATCCGATGATGATGAACTGGATTGCAATCCGATAGAAGCTGACGTGATGAAAGATCTGAAAGATTTTGTTAAGATTGATGCCCCGATTGATTTATCGCAAATAATGTCGCGATTGAACGAAGACGAGAAAAAAATCTTCGATAGAGTATGCCAAGTTTTACAAAGTAAAAATCAGATTCTGCGATTGTACGTAAATGGCGAGGGTGATACAGGGAAAAGTTTTCTTATTGAAACGATTAAACATTAGATCAGAATAAATTTGAAAAAAGCGACTGCCATATCTGCTCCCACGAGTATCGCGGCATTCGATATCGATGGCTT